ATAGTAGCTACAATTCAGTCTGGGGAACATAAGGTAGTCATTGCAGTGATGTATAACCCACCACAGAACTACAGGAGGCCAAGAGAGGAATATAAAGAGAACAACAGAGTGATGGTGGACACACTGGCTGAGGTGGCACGAAGAGCTCAGTCGTGCAGAGCAAAGTTACTGGTTATGGGTGATTTCAACCATAGGGAGATCGACTGGGAAAACCTGGAGCCTCACGGGGGTCCTGACACATGGAGAGCCAAGATGATAGATGTGGTACTGGAAAACCTCATGTATCAACACATCAGAGACACTACCAGAGAGAGAGAGAGGAGGATGAACCAGCAAGACTGGACCTTGTGTTAACCCTGAGCAGTTCAGACATTGGAGACATCACATATGAGAGGCCCCTTGGAGCTAGCGATCACGTGGCTCTGAGTTTTGATTACGTAGTAGAGCTGCAAGTGGAGAGGGTAACAGGAGTCGATTGGGAAAAGCCGAACTATAAAAGGGGGGACTACACAGGTATGAGAAACTTACTGCGGGGGGTTCAGTGGGCCAGAGAGCTGGTAGGAAAGTAAACGAAATGATGGAATATGTAACAACAAAATGCAAGGAGGCAGAGGAAAGGTTTATTCCCAGGGGCAACAGAATTAATGGGAAGACCAAAGTGAGTCCTTGGTTTACCCGAAGGTGTAGGGAGGCAAAAACTAAGTGCATTACAGAATGGAATAGATACAGTAGGCAAAGGACCCAGGAAAATAAGAGATCAGTCGAAGAGCCAGAAGCGAGTATGCACAGATAAGGAGGGAGGCCCAGCAACAGTATGAAAACGACATGGCATCAAAAGTCAAGTCTGACCTGAAACTGCTGTATAGCCACATTAGGAGAAAGACAGTCAAAGACCAGGTGATCAGGCTGAGGAAAGAAGGCAGGAAACTCACACGAAACGAGGTATGTGAGGAGCTCGACAAGAGAAATTATGACAAAATTATGCTCTCGTGAACTTTGATGTGTCAGCGATATTTACGAATCGGCGATTTTGCCGGCTTTGACTCCCAGTTTTGGCCAATTACATTATTCCAGTCGACCTAATTCTTAGCTATTTCACTAGTATTACTTCTGTTCTACTGTGAACTGTTTCAACTACAAAATAAAGTGATTGGAAATTGGTAATTTGGCCAATTTAACACAAAGTTCAAAATATTCCAATTTCAAAATAGGGTCCAGAATAAACAATGTAGGTATTCCTGGCACTAAACTAATATTTCCTCTGTTCATTAGTTACGTTTTGAGGCTTTACAAATGAATTCCATTTTGATTTTTTATTCACATAATGAATTTTTATTCAAACCAAAAAATAGAAGATTTACTGTTATGCAATATTGTAATAATTGTATAAATATCACCACCACATTTGTGAATGTATATTAGACCCACCAACTGGCATGTATTAGACTTGTGAGGTCGTTTGTTTACTGTTGAACATCAGCAAAAATTTAACATTTCTGCTAGTTTGAGCTCAGTTTCAAGCCATTTCCAGTGCTAAAACCAATCAAAATCATCTCTGTTTCTGTAATATGTCTTCCATTCTATCAAATGAGACCAAGAAATCGCAAATACAACTATAAAAAACATACGAAAAAACACTGCAAAGTCGCTGTTTTAATTGAAAATCACGGTCTCATTTTTTTTTCTCACATTATACACTGTGCTGCAGGATTTGTTTTATGTGGTGTACACATACCACATAGATGTATTCTCTCATATCTAGGCCCAAATTTACCACTCACAGCTTATTAGAGTGAGCTGAGCTCATGGCGTAGATCTACAGTTTGGACCCTGAACGTAAAGCCGTAGATCTATGGCACGGACTCTGAAAGGGCTAAGGAATTATTCACAGTGGAGACGGGGAGGACTCTGGGAAGACAGGACAGACGGGGACACCAAGAGGGAATACACCAACAAGTGCTGGATGACATACACACAACTGAGGAGGTGAAGAAGCTGCTAAGTAACCTTGATATCTCAAAGGCAATGGGACTGGACAACATCTCCCCGTGGGTCCATAGAGAGGGAGCAGAAATGCTGTGTGTCCTATTAACCACAATCTTCAACACATCCCTTGAAACTGGGCAACTACCTGAGGTATGGAAGACGGAAAATGTAGTTCCTATTTTTAAAAAAGGAGACAGAAAAGAGGCGCTAAACTTCAGACAAGTGTCACTGACATGTATAGTATGCGAAGTCATGGAGAAGATGATCAGGAGGAGAGTGGTGGAGCACCTGGAATGGAACAAAAGTATACATGACAACCAGCACGGTTTCATGGTAGGCAAATCTTGTGTCACAAACCTTCTGGAGTTTTATGACAAGGTAACAGAAGTAAGAGACGAGAGAGAGAGAGGGGTGGGTTGATTGCATCTTCTTGGACTGCAAGAAGGCCTTCGACACAGTTCCCCACAAGAGATTAGTGCAGAAACTAGAGGATCAGGCACATATAACGGGAAGGGCACTTCAATGGATCAGAGAATACCTGACAGGGAGGCAACAACGAGTCATGGTACATGATGACGTATCACAGTGGGCACTTGTGATGAGCGGGGTCCCACAGCGGTGGGTCCTAGGACCAGTGCTAATTTTGGTATATGTGAATGACATGATGGAAGGGATAGACTTAGAGGTGTCCCTGTTTGCAGATGATGTGAAGTTAATGAGGAGAATTAAATCAGATGAGGATCAGGCAGGCCTTCAGAGACCTGGACAGGCTGGACACGTGGTCCAGCAACTGGCTTCTCGAATTCAACCCCGCCAAATGCAGTCATATGAAGATTGGAGAAAGGCAAAGAAGGCAGCAGACAGAGTATAGGCTAGGTGGCCAACAACTGCAAACTTCGCTCAAGGAGAAAGATCTTGGCGTGAGTGTAACACCGAACACGTCTCCAGAAGCACACATCAACCAGATGACTGCTGAAGTATATGGGTGCCTGGCAAACCTGAGATTAGCATTCTGATACCCAAATAAGGAATCTTTCAAGACACTGTTCACTGTGTACATCAGGCCCATACTGGAGTATGCAGCACCAGTTTGGAACCTGCACCAGGTCAAACACGTTAAGAAATTAGAGAAAGTGCAAAGGTTTGTGACAAGGTTAGTTCCAGAGCTAAGGGGAATGTCCTATGAAGAAAGGTTGAGGGAAATCGGCTTGACAGCACTGGAGGACAGGAGGGCTAGGGGAGACATGATAACCACATACAAAGTACTGCATGGAATAGACAAGGTGGACAGAGACAAGATGCTCCAGAGAGGGGACACAGAAACAAGGGGTCACTCTTGGAAGTTGAAGACTCAGATGAGTCACAGGGATGTTAGGAAGCAGTTCTTCAGTCATAAGAGTGGTCAGGAAGCTGAACAGTGTGGTGAGCAATGTAGTAGAGGCAGGAACCATACATAGCTTTAAGACGAGGTATGATAAAGCTCATGGAGCAGGGAGAGAGAGGACCTAGTAGCGTTCAGTGAAGAGGCAGGGCCAGGAGCTCAGTCTCGACCCCTGCAACTACGATTAGGTGAGTACAGTTGCTCCTTGTTGATGACACTGTGCTTTTGGGAGATTCTGAAGAGAAGTTGCAGAGGTTGCTTGATGAGTTTGGTAGAGTATGTTAAAAGAAGGAAATTAACCCTTTGAGGGTCGAGAGGCCCTCTCCCAAACTCGTTCTTAGTGTCGAAAAATTTTTGGGAAAAAAATAAATTATTTTTCCTTATGAAATGACAGAGAATCTTTTTCCAATCATAATGACACCGAAAGTATGAAATTTGATGAAAAACTTAGGGAGTTATGCTCTTGCCCAAAGTTGGTGATTTCGCCAACATTGGGCCCTATTTTCGGCCAATTCCAATGTTGCAGTTGACTAAAATCATAGCTATTTCCCTAGAACGTCATTTGTTCTATCGATTGGGTACAAGAATCCGCCATTTACCGATTTCAACTACCCAATAAAGTGGTCAGAAATTGGCAATTTGGGCAATTTCACACAAACTTCAAAAGATGCCAATATCAAAATAGGATTCAGAATAAACAAGACAGACATTCCTGGCACTAAAATAACATTTTAATCTGTTCATTAGTCATGTCTCTATGCCCCTCTTACATAACTTTTGCTTTCCATTTTGAATTTTTATTCTCACAGAAAATAGAAAGTTTCTGTTTGGTATACTACTGCATCATTGTAAAAATGGGTTAAAGGATATCAGCGCACTTATGAAAGAATATTAGACTCACCAGTTGACGTGTATTGGACGTGTAGCTTAATCTGTTTACTCTTGAATATCAGCAAAAATCGATCATTTTTGCTACTTTGAGCTCAATTTCAATGTATTTGTCATCATGAAACCAATCAAAATCATCTCTTATTCTATAATATATCTTCCATTCTATCAAATGAGACCAAGGAAACGAGAATACAACCATAAATACCATATGAAAATTCTCTAGAAAGTCGCTGTTTTAAACCAAAAACACAGTTGAAGTTTTTTTCTCATGCACGGCGTGCTTCAGGACTGTTTTTTTATACTGCGCATACTGACCACACAGACCCATTCTTTCATATGTAGGTCTGCCTGCATTCTTCCACCAGATTTGAAGACGCTAGAATTTAGGCATACAAGTTCATGAACAACCCTGACTGCAATGACGTACTTGTACGTGACCGACCCTCAAAGGGTTAAAAGTGAATATAGGAAAGAGTAAGGTGATGAGGATAAAAAAACTTTGGTAATGGAAGAGTGGATATCAGACTGGAGGGAGAGTTGGGAGGAGGTGAAACTGTAGTGTAAGCATGCCTCTGGCAAGACAGTGAATGATGATGAAAGAGTTTCTTTTTCAAGCCACCCTGCCTTGGCGGGAAATGGCCGATGTGTGAAGAAAAAATGTTTTTTTTATTAATACATCAGCCATTTCCCACAAGTTATACTTCATTGTTCTCTGTTGGTAATGTTCTTCATTTTTGTACAGGGTTGTGACAGTGGTTTAAGTGTGGGCACAGAACCTGAAGGAGATGGTCTTTTAGACAGCTGTGCTCTCCTTCCAACACCCAGTTCTCAGCTTCATCATCATTACCATCACCATTCCCATAGTTTGCCACCAGGTAAGCCCACTTTTGAGATACGTGGATTTTAGGTAGAATTTGAAATTTGACTTGCATTATGTACTTAGAGTTAATGAATACGTATTATAAAATACGTCCATAAATTATACTATACGTATTGTTAAATACTGTATATGAACATAAACATTAAATTTATGAATTGCCTATATATTTCATTTATATTTTCCTGCATTTGCAAGTACTACTGTACAGTATTGTCAAAAGCAGGTCAAAGTTTAAAACAAAAAAGAAAATGTTAGAGCATGATGTACAGTATATGAAAAACACTCACAGCAGAGCAAACCTTTTTTTTTCCTTATACATTTTGATAAAATCCTAGTTAGGGTGGAACATTGTCTGATAAAAAAAAAAAACTTGCTCTGCTACTTGTGTTTTACATATTATATACCTAGTGTGTTGGCTGTTTGTCAGTAACTATATGATGTACCATACAATAGTTATTTCCCACTTTAGGCATATTCAGGTTACACAGTTTTTCTCTATCAGTATTTCTAAAGTATACTGTAGTATGTTCAAAAAGTGTGGTCTGTAACAAAAAAATTACACCCTAATGAAATGGGATAAAATAGCTGCACACAACTGTGTGTGTGTGTGTGTGTGTGTAAGAAGTAAGTTGGTAGATATCAACCATCCAGGGAGGTACTACTGTCCTGTAGAACATGGTTAGAGGTCTTTAGAGGCCTAGCTGGAGCCAGTGAATATCACTCTCTGGTATAGTAACTAATAAGTATTGGTCCTTTGATAATCATTAATTACACACAGAACAGTTGTAAAATGTTTTGTGCAGTGAAAGTAGTATATTTTACATACGGGTTGCCAGCAGTAGTTATTACTAGTAAGAATTTATAGGCACCAACCAGCTTTGTGTATGGTTCAACACTGCCACCATTTGAAATAAAGGAGGCATTAGCAGTGCACTGTATGGGGAATGGCAGAAGCAGCAACAGTATACATTAGCACTATTTGGTAACACGCCTGCGAGTCTCCCAGCAGTCAGCTGAAAGCAGAATCCCAGGTTGTTTGTAAACAAACTCTTGTATTCACTGAAGAATGGGTCAGCACTTGCCTCAACTTTGTCCACTAAATTTGGCAGTGGGTTATAAGCCCAAGTTCTAAGGAGCTTGTGACTCATGTTTTGTTACAGATAACTGTTGTGTGTATTGTTTGTACCTATCAGAGGTGTATATTCTGTGTGTGTGTGCTAGGTGAGCACCGCACACCCACCAAAGATGGTAAATTCATCATAAATAGTATTAAGTTCACTCAATAATATAATCATGGATCATAATGGGAAACTAATTTTTCTGTCCCCTGTTATGAAATATTGTGAGAGCTGTTCTAAGATAGCACTGCACGCCAAACAGCTAGTTGTATCATGCACAGCGCACACCTTGTGACAGTAGCCCACCATACACCACTGGTACTTATCCGCTAGGAATTTTTATTGACCTAAGAAAAGCTTTTGACACAGTAGACCACGGCATCCTACTCCACAAACTTGACCATTATGGTATAAGAGGCCATGCACTTCCATTATAAGAAGCCATCTCGATAAGCATAGCTTGATTAATGATACTCAGCATGGATTCACAAGAGGCCGGTCTTGTCTAACTAATTTATTAACTTTCTTCAGTAAAGCTTTTGAGGCTGTTGACCACAATAAAGAATTTGATATTATTTACTTAGATTTTAGTAAGGCTTTTGATAGAGTTCCGCACCATAGACTGTTAAAGAAAGTGGCAGCTCATGGCATTGGGGGAAAAGTGCTCTCGTGGATCGAGTCATGGCTCACTGACAGGAAGCAGAGAGTGTCCATAAATGGGGTTAAATCCGAGTGGGGATCTGTAACAAGTGGCGTTCCACAGGGATCAGTCTTGGGGCCCGTTGTTAATTTATAATATATATCAATGATCTTGATGAGGGAATTACTAGTGATATGAGCAAATTCCGCCGATGACACAAAGATAGGTAGGATAATTGATTCAAACGTAGATGTTAGGGAACTTCAGGAGGATTTAAACAAACCTATTCTTGGTCAGAAAAGTGGCAGATGCAGTTTTCAATGTAGATAAATGCAAGGTTCTGAAGCTTGGAGTGCCCATAACCCTAGTACTTATAAATTAAATGATGTAGAACTTAGCCATACAGATTGCGAAAAGGACTTGGGGGTTATGGTGACAGCAACCTTAAACCAAGACAGCAATGCCTAAGCGTACGTATAATGGCAAATAGATTACTGGGATTTATAATCAAGAAGTGTAAGCAACAGAAGTCCAGAGGTCATACTGCAGCTTTATACATCATTTAGTAAGGCCTCACCTTGATTATGCAGCTCAATTCTGGTCTCCGTATTACAAAATGGACATAAATTCGTTAGAAAACATTCAGCGTAGGATGACTAAATTAATACATAGCATCAGAAATCTTCCTTATGAAGAAAGATTGAAGACTCTTAAGTTACATTCACTTGTTAGACGAAGAATGAGGGGAGACCTGATCGAAGTGTATAAGTGGAAGATAGGTATTAATAAAGGGGATATTAATAAGGTCTTGAGGATGTCTCTCCAAGAGAGAACGCGCAGTAATGGATTTAAATTAGATAAGTTTAGATTTAGAAAGGACATCGGAAAGTATTGGTTTGGAATAGGGTAGTTGATGAGTGGAACAGTCTACCTATTGGGTTATTGGGGCGGGGATTTTGGGGTTTTTTTAAAATCGGGTTTTGGATAAGTACATGAGTGGGATGGGGGGGTATTTGAGGGGGGACTTTCCATCAGAGTTTATTTCTTGGGGGGCATTGAAAATTGGGTAGGGCAAATGTTTTGTTAGTGGGATGAATTTAAAGGCCTGCCTGTAGGGGCCAGCAGGCCTCCGCAGTGTTCCTCCTTTCTTTGTTCTTTATTTCAAATCCTACCTTAAATAGGTACAGTATTCACCTTTAAAGACACAGCACATAAAACACGGCCACTTGATACGGATTTCCCGCAGGGAATGCCCTTGGTCCCCGCTCTTCCTCTTTTTACACAATGATTTTTCCCAAAAAGTACCCAGCCCTGAAACCCTTTCTCTTTGCTGTGACCACTTAGTCTTCCCCCTAATCTTTCTACCCCAACACCTTGTTAACGAGGAGCTGCTCAAAATATTGACTTGGATGACAGCCAATAAACTTACGCTTAACATGACAAAACCCACTATTATTATGTTTGGTAGCAGAGCGGGGTTTTCCCCGCAGACTAATGAGGGCAAATTCCTAGGCCGTACCTCGACAAAAACCCTAAATTTCAGCCCCCAATACCCAACACATAAAAAAAAAATTTCCCAAAAACGTTGGATCCTCCCGATACGATATACGTGCCGCAAAATGCCCTTTCACACTATACCATTCACTCTTTTATCCATACTTACCTGTGCATTTGTGTTTGGGGAGAACTGCAGCAACAACCTAAACCCAATAATAACCCCAAAAAAAAAAGCCCAGAAAAGAATAATCACAAATCCCATCCCTGGAAACACACCCCTCCTACTTTTCATAGATCTAAACTTACTCCCTTTTCAAACATCAAACACTTACACTGTGAAATTAATCTAAGGCCCTTTAAATTCCAATTTAACCTTGACCTAAAACGTTTTTTGTACTTGACAGGACCCACAGGGATAACAGAGACGATAAAGCTCAGGTTTAGGGGGATGACCAGAGCAACCATGAGAGGGGGGCCAGGGCTTGGGCTCACCCCGCACCTCAACTAGTTGAGTACAACTAGGGAAGCACACAGACAACAACCCTTTTCTTCTCTTGGATAAGTGAATGCAGTGTACAGTCGTCTGCATAGCATGGGATTTTGGATAGATGAAGAAGGGCGTTGAAATAACATTCCATAAAAAATGTTCTCTCTCTCTCTCTCTCTCCCTCTCTCTCTTCTCTCTTTTCTCTCTCTCTTCCCACTCCCCTCTCTCTCTCTCTCCTTTCCTTTCTTTCTCTTTCTCTTTTTCTCTTTTCCCCTTTTCCCCTTTTTTT